CTAGGGCTTTGTTTGATTCCTTTCGAGACTTTCTTTGCCGTCGAAAACTGAGCAAAATGGGAGAAACTTTCATTCGGGCGAGCGCGCCTGTAGATAGCAGACGAGCGTTGACAGCCAAGTTACGCAATTCCACGAGGTAACTGAAGAGACAATGAGTGTACATGGTAGTGGAAAGCTGGGCCACATACTTCTCATAACCACCTGCCAAGTCGTAAAATTTTTGAGGATTGGCGACCAAAATGCTAGCTACCTCTTCTACAGAGGGTTCTTGCTTCGAGCCACATGCGCTCAAAAAGCTGTTGGCAGAAGGGCCAAAATCCACAAAGACGAACAACTTCGAGTGAAACTGCCCTTTCGATGCCCCTCCAAGATAACATTGGCTAGGGGAAAGCCAACGTAGTGCCTGGGAGCCAGGTTCTACCTGGGTAGGAACGATTGGCAGCCCCGAAATTATTGACAATTGAGATGAACTGAAGTCTGCGTGACCATCAGTAAGGCCCCCACATGTGCTAAGCGAAGCAAACCTGCAACATGGCCTGCTAGAATCTCAAACCATCGACGAGCGACGTTCTGATCTTGAGGAGATGTTTTCTCAAGCAATGCCACGATCCTGGTAGCGGGTGGGTGTTCCTTTAAGCCTAGTTTGCTTACTGCAATATCCCGAAAGGCATCTTCAACGACTGAGAACCCGAGGACCTTCCACTGATGTGATGCAAATACCTTCAAGCGCGTCACATTAATTAGATTTATGATGTATACGTTCCCGCTGACCTCATCTGGAGTTCCCATACAAGGACCAAAGTTATCCACTGCCGGTATGAAGGCAACATGACCAAATTTTTCACATCTATAGTCCGGATATCTAGAAGGAATGCTGTCTATAAGGTATTTGAATGCTGCAGATCGGATTTCTGGCTCCGATGAAACGCAGAGTTTGACAGTCAAGTCCAAAGGAGGACTTTTTCGCAGGCCCAGTCGATGGAGAAGCTTTGCTAGTAAGAGAACATGGTTTCAAATGAGGGAGCGACACGCGAAGGAAGAGACGGACCTTCTTCGGAGCTGCTTCGCCATTTAGTCTTCTCACCCCAATCGATAATTGGCAAACCAAGCTGACGGTTTGTGACAGATGGTTCGTAGAGATCACTGGCCCTATATCGCGACTTCTTTCCCGGAAGAGCGCTCTCGCCTTCCTTTGAGAAAGCAGACGTCATCTGGAGTTTCGTAATCTCATCTGGGGTTAACATGCTTTGAATCGTGACCAGATGTGTAATCAGATCTGAGATTGTCCAGTCCCCAGTTTTAACCATTCTGCCGGAACATGAGTAGCTTACTGTGATATTATGCATAGTGGCTTACCGATCAAAAACAACCTGAAGGTCTACATGCTTCCGGACGCCAATAAAAGAGAGCAGCTTCTCCATGTTGCCCTTAAGAGCACCGCCAGACGTAAAAGTAACGACGGGAAGATCGTTAAATATATTGGCGCTGGGAAAGTACGCCAACTGTGGCTTGTATAGACCTGAAGATGTCGGGATGCATGATTTTTGGATGAACATAGCCTTGATCTTTTCATGCGACTCTTTGGACAACGATGGCCATGTGCGGGCTAAAACGGTCAAAACTCGCTCGGCCCATTCCGAAGACCTGGTTACGTCTTGTGCCGGATCAGCATTCATAACATCTGGTCTAAAGATGTGCTGTATCCAGTCGAGAATCACAAATTCCCGCCACCCAAAAGATCTCAACTGTTCCTGCGTAAAGTGTTTCGTGACGCTCAGAGGCATGAGGGAATCAGGCAAGGGCCCATCCAGCGGAATCATACGTTGATGAATGAAGTACTGCACCATCGAAAGAGGAATCGGCTTGGCATCCTTTCCTGAGCCTAGACTGAGGATAGTGGCATTAAGAAGCTCGGTGCGAGCGCGCGTGGCATCGTGCGTCGGATCTTGCTGTCCCACAAGCCACTTGAGACAAGCAACGAGCTCGTCTTCGTTAAGCGGATGCTGGCGAAGTTGAGCCAGAACATCCGAGAATGTGATATTCGTGATCAGTCCTTTGCTTTGTAGAGTTCTAATGGCAAGAGAAGCAGGCAGCAGAATAGGAGCGGGAAGGACAGGCAGGTGTTTGAGGAACGACGAAAACATAGGATCGGGAGCGCGTACATCGGAGGCATCACGCACACCCGTTGTCGAAAGGACTTTGAGGGGTAAAGTGGAGCAACCAAAGAAGGCAGCCTCGAGGAATCGTGCAACATCGGAAGAAGGCGTTGAGACATGGAAAGTAAAAAATTTGAGGACATGCAAGAAACGATCGCGCAGCCAGTCGCGGAGTTGTGGATCCGGATGAAAACCGTTCGTATTGGTTGAATTTGAGGCTTCGTTCCAGAGCATCCGAATATTTTCGAGCTCCATCTCGTATGCTGCTCGACACAGATAGCCGCCAACATACAACAGCTCCCTGTTCCATACTATGTCACTATCAGTTATCGACTCGGCGGCGAACACGCAGATCTCACTTGCGACGTTACGGTCGCTGGAAATATGGTCAGATGCGTACATGGAGTACTGCAAATTAACTCACACTAGATCTATTGATTCGCGTTCAACCGTTGGAATAAATCTAGATGCCATATGACCGCCGATACCTGTTGTCTGTCCAGTTGCGTGCCCCTAACTTTCCTTAGTCAACTTGGATTGCTTCCTTGAGATCACTCTTACGATAAACACATGTGCTTGACCAGCACTGTGCATGTATGAGTTACAGCCACGGTCTCGTTCCCAAAAACAAGGTACTGACCCATTCAAATCAGCTCTGAGACCCTGGAAAACACTTCCAGAAGATACGGGCTGGCTCTTCTCCTCATCTAGACTCACATTGTACTCGTCTTTTCCCGTCTGCAAAGGAATCAGTCGCAAGCCAAAATCAAGGTCGCAGATCAAAGACCCACATAAATCAGGCTATAATTCAAGTGATTGGGTGGGTTTTTCTTTGTAGATCGGTGTAGTTCGCTCTGAAGTTTCTTATCCAGCTTCACGTCGACGTCCGCATTGAACATGGTAAGTGTGACGCTTGAGGTGTATACCCCCGTGGGGTCTCTGTTAACTTGGGGTTGGGGTAAAGGCTTTGCAAGTACAGGCTGGTGGTGTGACGTAAAAGTGCTGAGAAGAGAGGAGAAAAAACCGCCTTGAGAGACTTTGGGTGGTTCTTCGACTGTGAGGATGAGAGGCTTCTCAGTGCCAAGAGCATATACAGCATGCATAACGTGTGCCTGGATACGAGTAGCTGGAATAGTGCATCAGTCATATAGACGACCAGTAGTAAGGGGAAGTGCTCGCCAGCAGAATGCACGCTCTTCACACTCATCAAACCTAAACCGCTAGACTTTTTCAGTACTTTGGGTAATTCGACCTCCCTTGGAACACCCGGAGACTTGGTGAGATGGGCCAGGCGATGAGAGTCAATAAAGACGCTAACTGAGCGAATGTGAACCATGAATGTGATGCTGCTCGCAAGGAATCGCGTTAGATCGAAAGGCTGTGGAACAGGTCCCTGTTCACGGAGCGTCATCTCAAAAGTTGTCCACGGATTAGGCTGGAGAGCATCTTTAGATGGAAGATCACCACGCCGTACGAGGAGCTTCAAGAGGTCAGTTGATATCAAGTGTCAATCGACGTGCATACTTGGTCTCCAGTTTTGTCCTTCCAGTAGAATTGCATTCCGTGACCTTGATTCCGTTAGAAAGATAAGACAATACGGAGGCATTCCTACCTCCTGAAATGACAAATGGTTCCTCAGTCACAGAGAACAGACTATAAAAGCCTGCAAGAATGGTAGGAAATGAAATCATCAATGGTGTGGAGGAGCATACCGACACCGAAGGCGCCAATCTTCTCCTCGTCTGGATTTCCCTCAGCTATACAAAGTGAGTATATTATTTCTATTATTCAAGCCTCAGGTGTACTACACACCAATTTTCCTAAGTCGATTCCAGTCCTCATCGCGAAACACAATTCCGTTATTCCGAAAGGTCCACTGTGAGACCTACAATGATCGATCAACAAACACAGACATTGAAGTAACATGAATATGGGACAGACTGGAGTGGCTTTAAGGTCCGGGAAACCCACACCGTCCTCCGGCTGCATCGCATCCTTGTTGTTCTTTCGTCGGAGATACTCCTCTGTCTCAAAATATATTTCAACCGCGGAAGACTGTGCATCATCGGAGTTCTGAAGAAGTTCACGGAATACTACATGCTCGTCAGGGCTGCGGGATCAAAGAAGAAACCAGCAGGTATAGTGCACCTGTGAATTCGCCCGAATATCGTGCCAACACCTTGTCGATCAATGCACGCTGATTAACTTCTACTGTCTCATCATAACCACTCGCCCACTGCCTTGGTCGGACATCAGCGTCTCATAAGGAATCAAGCAGGCTTACAAGGGCGTCTCGATCATGAGCCATAGATTGGTTTCAATGCCACGCGCCTTCCCCGTGTGTAACGTGTTGCTGGCGGGTAGCTGAATGGAATTGGGCTGGTGTCTTACACCTTTGCAGGTGTTCGATGAAGGGAGTCGTTGAGTCTAATCCAGCAAACGGAGAAGTTGATGCACGGAGCCTTTAAGCGCTAAGCTCTAATTACAGTATAGTACTTTAATTACTTGATATTAGTAATTATTAATATTTTGGCCTGTTCCACGAAAACATGAATGGCACCAGAGACTAGTCATAGTAGAAAGGAACAACAATCTCGACATTCACCTACAGTCACATGGTCTGTCCGACAGTGCTCCGTGAAAACGCAAGTAAATGCGGCCTGGAAGACTCGCAGATTGCCATGGCATACCGCGTGTTCACTCTGAATCTTGATTCCTTGGCGATTCCGGGAATTCAAGTATAGATTTCATGGCCCAAGTTGGGTGAAAGCACGCAAGTAGCACGTATGATGGGCCTGACAAGTTAACGATTCCTGCTCTCATATATCATCATGATGTAAGGACTCAGAGAAGAAGAAAACTCATTTCAAATGGCTAAACTTACATGTCAGATCGCAATTACGTATGTACATACAGCATGCTGTCGAGTTCGGTGAAAATGCGGTCGGAAAGATGTGGTCGAGAAAGTTGATCAGAGTAAACTTTGAATCGTTACTATAACAAACTAAGGTGTCGTAGGGTGTCATGAAAGGTATCAAAGTTGCGAGACAATTGATGGCATAGAAACGATATTTTTCGGGATATGATGGATGCGATGCAATGTTCCTTCCATGTAATAGATTCCTTCACAAAAATGCCGAAGTGTCAGGGAGCACCAGCACCCTACGCCCTGCAAGGGCAGTCATAAATTGGAACCTCGTGGCAAGTCAGGGTCGGCGGGCATGTAAATAGAATTCCAACCTGCACTGAAATTATTTGTTCCCTGCGAGCGCAACAGCAAACCATCCGAAAATAGCCATTAAAAAGCGCACCATCCACGCTGGGTCGGCGCCAACGCCGCGGCCTGGCCTGAGCTGCATCGCCAGAGCAATGTCAAACTCGGGCACACCACGGTATGCGCGACTGCGAGGATGGATAAGGGGTGACGAAGGAGTTACGGGAGTAGAACTAGCGACCCGCACGGACCAGGAAGGACGTGCAGGTGGTTCGCGAGCTTCAGAATTTATTGCTGGGTGTACACATGCTTGTGGAGGTGTGGGTCGATCATCTGGGGTAGGGTCAGGTGCCGTTGGGATGGGTGGTAAAGAGAGATTCCGCAAAGGTGAATCAGGTGACGGATCTTGCACGCCAAGAGACGGCAGAATGTCCAAAGCATCGTGAAACTTCTCGTCTTCTGAGTCTTCTTGTGAGTCATCGGAGGTAGTGATAGAGACATAGGACAATAGTGCAGACGCGCGAGCACTGAAATACGGGGGTTCCTCGGACTTCTCATTCAGTATACTCTGCGTTACCGCTATAACTGTTCCAGTGTTTGAATTTCTCCTGCAGGAGGATAACACTGCATAATTCTCAGCATGGAGTAGACTTTGCCAAGCCTTGTAAGACCAAAGAATTTGGGTATGTAAGTCTTTGATGGCATACAATCTCAGGCCTACAGAGGCCAATGCAAGCAGCGCAATAGTGCATGAGAAGATGAGGAAGAGGGTAAAAACAGAAGTCAAGAAATCTGCTTCCCCATAGTTAGTGACGAGGTCTGGGAGGTTGTGCGTAGTTGGCACTTCGTCTCCTGAGCTGATCACAGTCATGATTCGTTGACCAAAAGGCACGAGACCTTCTGTGTTGATCGACCCGTGTACTGCATCAACATCTGCAGCAGCGGATGTGGGCCCGATGACCATTTCAGTGTCGCGATAGAAGTCACTATAGCAGCCCGCATCAGAAAAGTGTTCAGAAAATAAATGCCAGCGTGACTTACTCTGGATGTGATGGACGCAAACGAAAAGCCACTTGCATAGAATCTTGTATTTCTCCTGACATCCTACGACAGTCACTTACTGGTGCTCATCGGAGCAAATGAATGAACTTACTGCTTAGAGTCCGGCAAAATTGGAAGACTCGAAACGGCCAGCGCGAGCAGAGGGACAGAAATAAGTGTAGTAAACATCATGTCAACACCAACAATGACAGAACGTTTGCTATCCAATTCTGGCGGCGGTTACGCAAAGGAGGCGGAGGAACAAAACCCACCTCGTTTCTACCTCGCCTCGCGATCCGATGCAAAGTCGGAATAGGTCGGCATGCGGCCGGCTGCCGACACATAAGTCGCGTCTCCATTTAGTTGTTGTCACGTGCAGTTATAATTCCCCTTCAATGAGCTGGTGCACACTGTCACCACCCAGAGCTAACTCAGGGCCAACTCGAGTCCGAGTACCCGTAATATTAAATATTGAATGGCACCAACTTCAAGAAACCAGCGCCAACAATCAAGAGCATCCTTTCATCCATCCAATGATACTGCAACTTACCGTGATCTACTACTCTTTGAAGAGCGCCTCAAAACCAACGCCGCTCAGCTCCAACGCAGAAAGTCCAGGTATCAGCGTATGTTTTCACGATATCTATATTGCTTAAGACGCTTATTTTTATTCCTAGTGTTCCTATTTCATCTTCTGATAGCTATTGCATTCCTTCTTTCCGAAGTCCTTCTTCAAACGTCCTTTCTAGACATATCCTACACGAACCTCCTCCGCAAAGTACTTCCAGATGTGTACGGGGGTGTTGAGAGCTCAAAGCCCCACCCGTACTTTGCATCGGGGCTCCTCTTCGTACTTGTAACTGCCCTCCTTCTCTTCTTTGCCAGCGGCATGTATGCTGAGAAAATTGCATATGCAAATAGGTCAGCTTTCATACAATGTATTCACCGCTCAGAGATTTAGCGACGGTGCTGTAGATATGTTCCTCATGCGAATAAAGCTCTTCGAAATTTCAACATGTACCTGAATGTCCGACGTCCCCCCCTTCGCTCAACATTCTCTATCAGCCCCTTTCCTCTTATTTTCCATCGACCTACCCAGTCACGAGGACCGTCCCCAACACCACGCCCATCCAATGCACCAGCTCCCATGGCCCCTATACCACCAGCAAACAATCCACGTGGTGAACTCATTTTTTCGTCACGCGTTGACCGGGGCTTTAGGGAGAGCTACGAGAGATATCGAGCTGCATTTGAAAGGAAGCGAGATCGAAGAGAGAGGGATGAAAGAGACAAGACGTGGACAGGACGGATTGCGAACAAGATGCCGTGGAATCAACCGCCGGATGCACCGCCTGCTTTAGTCGCACTTTCACGGACCGCGTCTGGTCGCGGGCGGGGAAGCGTTGTCGGCACTCCATTGGGGTCCAGGAGGTCAAGTCCTATGCCGAGGCCAGGGACAAGAGATTCTCCTGCTGTGAGGACTATTGATTGATATTGATTAAGCAGATCTAACCAATATTGTCATTCGCATTCGTCTGAAAAATAATGTTCATTTCATACTTTTGTGAGGTGGCCCCCAAGCCGACTAGGTAGCAGATGCGCCTTGGCTTTGTCACCTGAAGAGAAGTCGGTGGATAGTGAATTGTAACGATATTGAAGATGAACGGTGCCGTACACAGAGATTTGCTCTTCTACTCGAAATCCGATTGCATAAGAAGCTCCCAGATACAGTGGCCGCTAGTCAACTATTCGCGGTCCCGCGAAACCCCGTTGAATTCTAGCACGACATTCAAAGGTAACAGTATCACGTGTTTATCTCAAATATTAATGAACACCGTACGGCAGTGTGTTCTCAGATGCGGCGAACTTGAAAGTACCCCGTGTTATGTAGGTTTGGGAAGGCGACACATGTACGATACGCGATTTTCAAAGTAGTACTTACAGATATAACTTACATAATTAATTTCATTGCCTGCAATGCTGCTGCGGGCCAACTGATGTGGTAGTAATGTCGGTAATCGCAACATAGGCCCATCATGCATCATGATGGAAACCATGTGAGTGCACAGTGAGTAGGTATGGGTCCCAGATATCCTCATACGTTCAATCTGTTTATAGTTTGCCAAGACTTACTTAGAGCTCTGCTTGTGCATTCAATCATGAACTTCGTTCGAATTACTGAGTTCGAAATTCCACGATTGTTCTCGGTTGAGTCGGAGTGCATTACATGCACTTCAGGGACATGTCATGGGAAGCACTGGCAATGGCGTGGTGGCACTACATGCGGTTAGGCTACGGAATTTCCAAAGACTCCATCTCCGTCGTGTCCGACTGATGGATGATAACATGGCTCGGACGAAGGCTCTTATCCGGATCTGAGGTGGGTAAGGGTTACTCAGGTAAACGCTACTTACCATGAGAAGCCCGTGTTGCAATTGCAAGTGTTTCAGTTACATGACAGAGAAACCTGCCTATCAAGTAGTTAGCATGGATGGGAAAGCTTCTGAAGAGACGTCATTTGCGGTGTTGTTGCGCCTCAATGGCCCAATGGAAGAAGTACTCATGAACTTAAACAGCAAGCGTCGCGGGAGGCAAGTGCGGCACTTACGTTGCGTATATTATTCATTAGAAGCCCCATTTTTGAGCTGTCAAGCATGCAGATTCAACACGTCATCCAACATCTGGGGTAGCATGCAGGCGAACTATCAAATCGCATGCGGGGTCGTGGTGATTCGTGACGCCTCCCGCGATGGGTTCTGCATTACCTTTTCAACATGTATTATGTAAGACACGATTGATGCGCAGATTGGCAGTGAATCTCTTGCTTTCAGAGTGCATCTCTGTGCTAAATATTAAATAGCTATGCCTCACAGTCATCACTCTCACTCCGGACAGTTCTGCAGGCATGCTTTCGGATCCTTAGAAGAAGTCGTATTGGAAGCCATCAAACAACGTTTCGAGGTGTATGGTTTGACAGAACATGTACCCCGCTACAGGCCAGAGGATCTGTATCCAGAGGAGGTAGTTTCTCCTCCTTGAACCAGGTTTTATATCTAAATATATCTATCAGAGGGACCTGTCCCTTGATGACCTGTCGAAGCAGTTCCTGAGTTTTCTTAACGAAGCTCATCGATTGAAGGAGGTTTACGCCTCCCAGATCACCTTATTGGTTGGACTCGAGACAGAGTACATTACCGATGATGACTTCAGTCATCTTCAAAAGCTCCTGAAGGATAACGAGAGGCGCATCGATTACATTGTTGGATCCGTCCATCATGTCAGCACTATTCCCATCGACTTTGATCGTGTCACATATGAAAAGGCTTTGGCCAACTTTTCGAATGAAGAGGGCGTTTATATTCTTGGAAACGATCAAATGGAACACTTTCTATCTGCATACTTCGATGCACAGCATCAATTGATACAGCAGTTTCAGCCAGAGATCATTGGCCATCTCGATTTGTGCAGGCTCTACACCCCTTCCCTCGATCTCAGGCAGTACCCCATCGCCTGGGGCAAGCTAATCAGGAACATCGAGGAAGCTACACGGTACGGCGCACTTTTTGAAATTAATGCTGCCGCGTTCAAGAAGGAGGGATGGACTTCGCCGTACCCTGGGAAGGATGTAGTAGGGGTCAGTAACAAACGTCATGCTGTATCAATCGTTACTTTCTTACTGTGTCTAGCTTATTCAGGAGAAAACTGGTCGGTTTGCTTTGTCTGATGACAGTCACGGACCGCGGACTGTCGGACAGTATTATTTGGATGTGGCGGACTATCTGGTTCATGTAGGAATTACTGAACTTTGGTATTTGGACTGCTCATCAGAGCCAAATCACAATGGGAGGTACATATCTCCTAGGCGAATTGAAGGTGATTGGCGGCTCCATACTTTCTGGAAACATAGGGAAGGTGAAAGGCGCAGAATCGTCTCTCTATAAATACGAGATGTTTTTGGCGATGGAAGTACGTTTTGCGGCGGCTTGAAGTACTTCGATATTATCTTTGATGTCTTCTGCCCCAAGATGCACCCCAGCCAAAGCTAACGACTTTTCATTTTATGGTGGACCATGCCTTGTTTCATGGATGCTGCTACGTTTCCATCTGGCATTAAATCATCATCTGTAACGCGCATTCCAGACTGCAGGTCGCTTGACAGAACATGCCTGAATGGGAGCACAATGCTTTTGAATCCTATTACGGAGTGCGGTGGAGTGCGGTGTTTTGCTGTGAGGAAGTGATCGGGAGTCCTCTTGTCCTCCGGTGCCAATTAATTTGCTTGTACGCTGCTTCAAATCAGGCGCAAATCAGGCGCGGTGAGCTCGCATACGTAAAAAGTTTGCATCATGGACAAACACTTAACACGATTTAGGATGGACACGATGGCGCACGACCACCAGAATTTCCACGGTGCCATATTTGACAGCTGGAGAGCTCATCGCAGAAGCATTTAAACTTATGCCAGTTGGCTTTCACTGCTACTAACTTAACCCCCAAGTACTCTGAATCAAGATCTCGATTTTTCCCTTGAACCCGCGATCCTCATTGCGTGTGTCATCAGTTCAATCTCAGATGTGGGTCAGCCATGCTGCTCAAGATAAGATTCTTCGCATCATGTGCTTGCCTTTGACGTGCTTCTCCATGCAAGGTGCTCGGCGTGTCGAAGTTTAATGCCCCAACTTCGCAATCCCTACCCCGCATTGGCTTTGACATCACTTAACCCCGCAGTTGTCGTCACTCTAGCGTCTCAGGAGAATAATTTTTTCCTGGTAGTCTCTTATTGCATGTGCATGATGGGGGACATGCAGTGGCAGTATTTAAAGGATCGCAAACAGAGTGTCTTCAGCTTAACGATCCCACCCTTCCGCTAGAAATCTCATGTGAGGAAGATTCAGACGCTTTCTCCTCGCATGACTGACTTGTGTTACAGTAAACATGTGTCACCGTCAGGTCCAGTGCGCCAGACACGGTTGCGGCCACGAAGAGCCCATCGGTGATGCGAAGGTTAGCCCAATGCAGCGATACTGCATTTGCACTTTGAAGTTACTGACAAAAACTGAAAGGTGGATTGTCAATCCTCTCAATGTCGATACAGCGCTGCACATCCACGAGGCTGTCCAATTTGCTCTAGCACGTGTCTTCAATGGTTCGTTGCACCATCATATGCAAAGAACTAACGACTGACCGTAATTTTGTCTCACACCAGCATGGGTAGAGCCCAAACTATTGTCATCCGAAACGGAAATCCGATGTGTTCCCACTGTGCTAGACAGAACGCATAAAATATCGGACCTGCTGTGTTGTCACAGCTACCAAATGGGCCTTCACCCCGCCATGCATGCCGATCACAGTTTTCTGTCCAATCACTCACTTTGTACTCGCAGTCCGATCTTGGATTGACGTTCGTAACTACCATTATTGTTGATTGAGTTATAAACATTAGGCCCATCCACTTAGGTCAAGGGCATTGCTCGTACTTGTACTTACCTATACTTAGTCTTCCAGTTGCTGAGGACCAGCCAGCTGTGTGGTCATCAATACTCAAATTGAGATGTCTTCTTTCACTTCCCGAATTATCTAGTACCCACGAGGATACCGAGTCGTAGAGCAGTGTAGGATACCAGCTTCGCGAGAACCTAAATCGGCATGCAATCTGACAGAGTTACGCCTTCGGTTGTTGATTGAACATTGTCACCCCTTGAGGCGTTTGCAAAGGCAAAGGGGTCGATCCCTGAGTGCATATAGTCCCTTAGAAAGGCTTTATACATATAGAAGAACAATGGAAGGAAGCCAATCATTCCTTCTTGATTAAATCGTGCACGAAAGGCTTAAGTGCTGGAGTACTAGCTTCGGATCATAGTCACGGTACCGAAAAGGATGTGGCTGCCGGGCGGTGTTATGACTCGGATATGTTATGTAGCTTCTCTAGTTTTTGGACTTTCCATAAGTATATCTTGGGTATGGCCCGGTTCCAATAAGCAACTTTAATCACTATATGGTTAATCCAAACTATGAACCTAGCAACCGCATTTTCTGGTCCATCTCAGGCAGCATATCTTCGCACCCTTCCTGCCATTAGAGAACGATGCTCAAATGTACATGCCATGGCGCAACAGGGAAAGCTGGAGTATTTCGATTATAGCCCAGATCGTGAATCGTCCGTTGTGAATTACTGCCTCGAAATCATGAAGGTTCCACCTCGAGTCGACTCCCAGGCGTTACTCATGGCTGACACATATTCTAGAGAGACTTTCCCGCAGCTGATGGCGGTGTTGACTTTGCGTCTGTGAGGATTTATATTTCTAATCGGACAGCAGTGTTAGAATCACATCCATAGATCCCACCGCATGGAAGATGGAGGCATCTAGATGCAGGAAAATCGCGCATAGCGCCTTTGATGGCGAAATGGGATGAAGAACAAGGGTCGCCAGTCAGCGAGAAAGAGAAATGCAAGAGGTTGATTGATTTGTTCCTTGTTTCTGTCCTACTGGATGCTGGAGCTGGCAACCAATGGGTATACAACGAGTCAGACGGGGAAAGCTACAGTCGGTCGGAAGGGCTTGCAGTTGCAACTGTACATATGTTTGACCAAGGTCTTTTTTCGGGATCTCCTGTAGCTCAGCCTCATCGCGTCGATGGTAAGGGGAACATCCTCTGTGTCTGGTGTTCTCATCTGATTTTCCTATTTAAAGCGCAGGGATTGTCTCAGATTAATGAATCGAGAATCGCCTCTGCTATGCAAGTCAGTGATACCAATCCAATGGTTGGTTTGTCAGGCCGAACTTCCCTCTTGGTCAATCTCAAAACCGCGTTGGAGTCTAATCCCCGCTTCTTCGGTTCTGACGCTAGACCCGGAAATATCATTGGTATTGATCATTGTCCACTGTTTGATTAGGTGGTTGATCACTTCTGATGTTTACAGACTTCCTGGAATCCGAATCGAAGCTTGATGGTTCGTCCCTGCGTGTCCATATCTCATCACTGTGGGGAGTTTTGCTCGAGGGCTTAGCTCCGATCTGGCCTGCAAGGTATTCCATCGGCGGAGTGCAGCTCGGAGATGTGTGGCCGTGTTCTGCGCTCACCACGGATGGGCAAGCCGAGGGAGACAACTTCGTACCGTTCCACAAACTAACGGGATGGATCACATACAGCCTAATTGAGCCCATGGAGAAGATTCTCAAGTGGAGATTTGACGGTATCGAGGACATGACTGGTCTTCCAGAGTATAGAAATGGTGCATATGATGTACCTTAGCATAACACTGCTATTGACGTTTGATCTAGGAGGTTTGCTGGTCGACTTTGGTGTTCTTACTCTCAAACCCGGTCTTAAAGCGCTCGCAAACACTGGTGGTGTTCCATGTCTTCCACCATCACATGGTGCTGTAGTTGAATGGCGGGCAATGACGGTGATTGAACTGTGAGTCATCAGTGAAACTGTCTCAAGATTATACTGAAGTTCTTGGGCAGCGATCGCATCGCCGACGGCATCCGTCATCAAGTTGGTGTGAACTCCTACGATCTGACCCTTGCCCAAGTACTAGAAAGCGCAACGTGGAAAGGAGGGAGAGAAATTGCCAAGCGACTCCGCCCTTTAACCGGAGGACCGCCCATCGAGATAGAAAGTGACGGAACTGTTTTTTGAGGTTGTAACATTCTTCCGGAAAGTATCAAAGCATGTATGTATAACTGTAGTTCAACATTGGAAATACCCTGGTGACCAGGAAAGTGATCAAAATTCATGTGCGTTTCAATTCCCTAGCTAGGCGCCAACACAAGACGAAAGCTACGGCCGCGGCCACGCCTCCTAACCTGATTTAGTTTTGTGATCAGCTGCTTCACTAGCATGTATGACGCCATTGGGCACCCACCGAAAGATTATTGCAATTGAATTGGGACCTGTATTTACAGAGGGATCTTCATCCCGATCTAAAATTTGTCGCATGACATCTCCTGACGTAGTGATCGTGCTGTCGACAGGTATGGGATTGCCCGGATGATGACTGTGTAAGACAGACTTCTGAGGATCAAATATTGCGAAGATGATTGATGACAGGCCAGTAACGAGAAATTGGGGTACTACGATAAATATATTATGAATGCCCTGGTGACGTTGATTAGATCTGACAGGGACAAGAATCTGAAGCACTGACGAGAATAGCACCGGCCTGCGAGCTCAAGCCGTTGGGATTCTTTTTCAGCCTATGAGGCGGTGCATCATGAGACATTTGAGCCGATGAGACATTTATATCGGTCTGGCTGACTCGTGCTTCGTGATTTACCATGATCCTCGGATAGCCGTCATCCTCTTCTTGTTCCAGTGACGTAGATCTCGAGTATGTCGGGTCTTCCAGGTCGGAGCCAACGAGATGCTGAGTTTCATCAGCATCTTGCCCATCATCATCTGTCCTAGATCTTAGATTTGAGCGCGTGTCCTCTAGATATATCGAAGTCATCTCTTCATCAGTTGCAGGATGGGACAATATTGCCTCCGCGAGCTGAGAATGTATGGAATCAGGGAATAGTAGGGGAACATTCAGGGTTTGAATGATGACGTACCAGCGTGAATGGGGCCCACTGTACTATGGCCCAACAAAATCCGGTCACTGACATGATGAAAGTAGCACCGCCAACGCTTGATACAACGCTTCACAGGTTCAATTGTCATCAAAATCATCGCTTGCTTTGACGTGTAGAGACTTACAATGTGGCAGCCATGCATAATGCGAATACGAAGAGAGAGAATGCCCAGAGTGTAGCCAGGTGAACCTGAACACGTTCCAACCACGGCTTCCTCGGTTGAAGAGGAGTCAACATAGCGACTTCTTTAGCACGGACGATGAAGAAAGGCATAATGATGTTTGCCGCGAGAGACACCAGCGCGCTGTAGAATAGTGCGCGCGCGCCAAGACGTGTAGCCTCCTCGTCTAATATGACCGCTGAGAGGTCGTCTTCTGGGGGAGGGGAAACCTGTTTGTGCAGTTCGCCGATATACACAGTGGTATAGAATAAAACAGGGAACCAGGCTAGCGATGAACTACCAGATCATGGCTGTCAGATAAATGAAGCGTTATTCGAGACAAACGCACAAAAATTGAATATAACACTGTAAAGTAGGTCAATAGACATGGACTAATAAAAATATATGCTGCGTACGATCTGTCTTATGACTCGGGGTAATCTTGTTAGAGTATTCCATATATTGTATATTTCATTCTTTAGGCCCTTGGCGCGGGAGCTATGGCCGAGTGAGACAAACACTAAGTAAATAGAGATAACGCACTCGGTTGCAACAAGTATCCTCTCTTTGACGCAAACGGAGGTCAACAAATGTGTGAATATGAGTAACAGAGACGCGATGACTACTAAGTCTTGTAGTTGAGCTCGGCCAAGGAAAGGTAGCCATTGAGGAAGGTCTATTTCTCCCC